GTTAGTTCTCAGTTTCTTTCTTGATTGTCAGATGGATGCGCGCGACAGCTAAGTGTTACTCGTAGTAAAAATACCACAAGCTGGAACGTATCTACGGTGTGTTAAACAGCAAAACATCAAGATCGTACTTCACGGGATCACTTCTGTAAGAGTTGATCTTATTTTCCCTCCTTAATGTGAAAGCTGATGTAACCATGATGAGGGGCAATAGCCTTCTTCCTTGAGCGTGAGAACGACACGAGTTCCTGAGTTATTCGTGATCTTCCCCATTGATGACCGTTCATTTTTTACACTTGCTAGTGCATCGATAATGGAAGAAAGAGCTTTCTGAATGCTCTACATATAAGTATACAAAAGTTTTAATTCTTCTAACTTATATTTAAAAATAAAACTTTCTAAAAAAATCCAAAATATTGTAAATATTTATAGCATTATCGTAATATTTATTAAATTATGAGAGTAATTACTGAAAATAATAATTATTCGAAATCGAATTAACCAAGCTTACTTACTTTGAATTTATTAGATTTTAAAGTGAGCATAAGATCTCTTGGATCTGTACGACAAAAATCGCAAACTGGATTTCTATAATTTCGTAGGTGTTGCCCACAGCTTTTTCTCACGGAAAGGAAAAAGAATTAGACCTCGAGCCAAATATATCTTATCATGTTATTGCTGTGTCAATAACATCTTTCTTCTCGAGTTCTCGTGAAAAAGGCGCCCCTTTACCGGTCTGACGGCACGATACGATTCGCAGCACTCGAGAAAATATATGTCACGGATGTTTTATATTTATCTGAAAATCTCCTTTGACTTCATATTTTTATATTTATCTATATAAAAATTCTTTCAGCAATCAATATATTAAATAAATGTAATCTAATTAATTAAAATATAAACAGTAAGCTTTTGATAGACAAATAGTTAATATTAATGCAAGTAAGGAGCCCTAAACACTAATTTATATTTTTATTTTGACACAATAATTTTTCTTTCTCTAAGATTATGGTGAACATCTCTTACCAATTTTGTAAATTTGTTAAATAAATTTTATATTGCAAAATCATATATGTATATATATATTATTATAAAAGAAAATAATATATTTTTTTTATAATAAATGCGTCTAGAGAAAAGCTAACAACAGTTTAAACCACGTGAATAATACTGTATTTTGTTTTATCAAATAAAATATACGTTGGGCGACGCGCGCGTTAAGCGTAAAAATAAATTGTAAGTTTATTTATCCTCTTGTTGGCGCACAGTTTGTAGGAATCAATTATCGCGTGCTACGGGTGGTGATGAAAGCGGTCGTTATAACGAGCATATATCTCAATTAATTTTTGCTGGTATTGACATTGCTACAGGTGTCACGAATTAAACATCGACGAAACCAATTTGATGTTTCGACATCGACTTCGATAAATCAGAACGGACTCGAATCTTAAACTATTTGTCGTGTCAAAAATGAATGGAAAAATTCGGCGATGACAAAAATATTCATATCCGTTTGCTCTGCTTATTGTTAGTAATAAAGCCGATTCAATAAATATTATAAATAATCCAAAACCTATAATATTATATGTTGTTGTCTGATAATTTACGAAGTACGATTTAGTTATAACTTAAATTAGTATCTTATTGAAAACAATTAGTCACTTTCTTTAAGTAATTACTTTATTATAAACGACTTTATTGTAAACAAAAGCAATTATTGCGCATTTAAGCAAAAATGTATTTAGAAGTATGCTTATTAAAAGAATACCTTACTATTTAAGATTTGATGATTTGATAAGATGACTCAGAAAATTTTCTGCTCTATTATTAAATGGAACATGTGAACGATCATCAATGATAAAAAAAATCGAGAAAAGTCGTATTACTCTCACGCTCGAAGAAGAGCGTTATCATTTCTCATCATAGTTACATTAAAGCTTTTCAGTCAGAAACAAAGACAAATGATAAGATTCCCTCTTGCAATTTACATGAGCTATTGATCTTCATTTTTATCTTGACATTTTCAAATATGTCTTTTTTTTTTTTTCAAAATCTTGAACCATTGCTTCTTTATAGATATATGCATGGCACATTATTTCTTTTCACAATGTTAAAACAGATTTCTTTGACTGTACAAAAGTTAAATTTGTTTTGTTAGTGCTCTCTTAATCTGCAAAGAAAAAGATAGAGAAAATGATGTACACAAACGTTCTTTAAAAAGAAAAATGCTAAAAGAGCGAAAGAAGCAAAACTGTAAAAGAAAGATGAATGCGAAAAAAGGAAAATAATCGAAAAATGCATAACCAGACAGATACATCAAAATATGACATGGATGATTAAAGTGTACATTTACAAAAACGTCGATTTAAATTCTCTGTTCCATAGCAATCTTTGTACTATTAACAAGGCAACAAAAATAATAATGTGATAAGATTGTTGTAAAATATATCTAAAAGTGTATCATTTTACAATACCAAACAATTAAAATAATTGGTTTCATAAGAACAATTAAATAAGGCATACAAAAATTAATCAATTTAATGCATTTAATACATCCTCGGACATTTCTTTTATTAAGTCTTTCTATTAATACCGCGTGCTACGCAAAAAGAATAAAAAGATCGGTTCTAAATTGACGAAATAGTTCAGGTATAGATGGAGAAAGAAAGGCAGGAAACAGGAGAATTACAATTCTGAGATACTTTAGAACACATTATCGTATAATATTTTGTATCTTTTTTCCGTGCGCAAATACAGGGAAAATACATTAAACGTACTTTAAGTGCTGTTAGTAAAATAAAAGGAGGCGTGAAAAGGAATGGAATCGGGGGGTGGGTGCGTACAAGGTGCGCGGATGGACTCCGGCGCGCGGATGCACATCGCGTGGCACACAATGCGCTAGTACTGGGCGGGGTGTAAGTAATGTATGCTCACATTGTTTACCGTCGCCTTGGCGTGTCGCCGCGAGACATTGCACACTGCCGAACCGTACGTACCACCCACTCGCAACACCATTCTGCCGGCGTTGCACGCACGCTCGCACCTACGCGACACGGACGACGGGCCCGCGTCCCCGAAAACGCACCGTCGCGTAAAACACATCCGCGTGATACCGAAACCGCCGAGCTAACCGTCGCACGGCAGAGCTGCTTAACTTGCCGTTGTGTCATGCAAATGGCGATAATGAGGGAAGATGAGTCGCGGAGCCGCGTGGAACACTCATCGTGACGTTAATTCACATCGTGATTGGTGCTATACTTCACAATGTAAATGCATCAGTGAAAAATGTAAGTGTGAATTAAATTACTTTAGATTTATAACATTGTGATTTGTTATTATTATTATTATTACTGTCAAAATTAACAGAGAGAGAATTAATAAAAGATTCATTGCGACAGCAACAAGAAATTACATTAAGTTCGGAAAACATTTAACATAAACGTTTAAAAATAAAATTAATTAAAGATTATTTTTTAAATGGGTTGTTGCATAAATGTTTAAAAAAAATAATCAAAAATTTATTTAATTTTTTTTCTCTACATTCCTCAAAACTGAGATAGTCTAACTTTCCGGATATTAAGATTGCCAATTTTGTTCCATGTATGCGAGAGCCCGTGAAGAATTTAAGTTTACTGTTTAGCATCCGTAAATGCAACGTAGGATTTTAACACCAAATATAACATTTGGTCATCGTTATCTTCTAGCAATGATATAAACTGGCTAAATATAAATATAAGACTCGAGGTCATCTAATTTACAATAATAGAATAGGAGCAACGTTCTAAAGCGGTCGTCATATTAGAAATACATTGCTCAACTATTACGTATGTGGAAGCTATAAGATACACCGCATCTTCATAGCCATATATAATTCTCATAAGAATTAAGAATTAAGAAAGTTAATTCTATATTAAATTTAATAAATTTAATATAAAGTTATCAATATATATATACGCTTCATATATATAATATATCAGTTCTCTCGGTTACAAATATATCTTAGAAATAATTAATAATACGCTCGACATTTCCTCCCAGCTTTCTTTTTTAAAAATTATTCGAATTATTATATCTTCTTCGTCCTCTAATTTTAGTTTCATGTCCTCGTTAACATTGTAAGGATTGGTCGTTGATGTAACTTCGTAACGCTACGAGAGACGTAACTACCACACGGCCGCGGATCTCCCAGTGCAATATTCTTCTCTCTCGTCGTTGCTGCCATCTGTTTTTCCCCGTCTGTTCCTCTTTTCCTCTTACCGCGACTTACACTACTTGTTAGCTGTTCCTTTCAAACTCGCTATAGAAAAAGGCAGCCGACAACTGCAAGTACGACACGAGGTCCTAACTAGTTGTCGGAGCAAAAGTTTGCTCGGTCAGAGGTTAAAGCGGCGTCCGTTTGTTTATTAGAGAGCTCGTAATTGAAACGTTAATTCTTCATTTTTCGCGAGACATGAACTTGTACGCATTTCGCAAGAAAATCCGAAAGAGTAATCTAAAAAAATACTACTCGAATTTTTTAAAAATAGTGAAAAATCTGTGATATTCTTAAAAGCTAAGCTAATTTATTACTCTTTATATCCCATAATTTCAATATAATTTTTTATTATTATTCTATTAAATACATATATTACTACTGATTGATTAAATTTCTGATCAGGTTAAATTATCTGATCTCAAATATTATAGTTATTTGAGATGAAAAAGAAATTGATAAATAAATTAAATTTGAGAGAAATAATTGAAAAAAGATATATCGTAAATTTAAGATTAAATGTTTCGCGACACTGATAAAAAGCGATTGGATCGCGAGTAAAATTCGTGTATGACCGATAATGCGAATACATTCTTAATTTACGAAATTAGTACTTTGGATGGGATACGATCGACAAAAGAACTGGCAAAAAAATTATATTAGATTATATTGCGCATGATATTTTTCTGATCTTTTTGTACGGAAGTAATAACGATCGGCCAGAAATACGCCGATAGCCAATTTCTTGGATATCCGATATATAATACTTGACTTCGGTGCCGAGCAATCTCGTTTTTATCGATTCTCACAAAATCCTCCCAATTAGCTCGCATAACATTACCGTAATTACGGTACCTACCTATCGACCGAGGCATCATCGATAGGCTTAATACATCTTCGCTATATATGTATATCCAACCTCTGCTTTCGCCAAAATTGCATTCTCCGTCAGCATGAACAGCGTATGTGAAATTAGCAAATAGTTCGCGAAGTTCGCAATAACGTAAATAACTTTATATGCGGAGTTTAAGCAAAACCTATAGAACTAAACAAAGTTATAACTGAACAATTTCATACTATATACTTC